CTCTCTCTCTCTCTCTCTCTCTCTCTCTCTCTCTCTCTCTCTCTCTCTCTCTCTCACACACACACACACACACACACACACACACACACCCACCTACTCGCAATGGGGAACTCGAACCCCTGTTCTTATGTTGTTTGTTGTCATATGCCCCGTACACAAAAAAAAAAAAGCATGACTGTGCCAGACTGCTTTCATCAAACTACCATGTGTATGTTTGTCTGTGTGTGTGCATGTGCGGGCATGTGTGTGTGTGTACAAGGTTTTTTTTGGGGGGGTAGGCGCTTCTTTTTGTTTCTGTTGCTTGCCAGCGCGTTTTCACATGGGCTAGCCACCCAACAGTAGGAACCAATAGGGGGCAGTGAAGTCTTTTTGGGAACTACCGGCTTTGTGCCCCCAAAGCACTGTATGGTACTCGTCAACAAGTTCAATTGGACAATACCATCACGATGGACTGGTGGTCCAAGGAATCTTTCCAAATCCTTACCATATGGTCCATGAAAAATATGATCCAATTATTCATGTGGTCCATGGAAAACAGGCCTTGGAAAGTACAAAAAATGATACGGAACTGACCTTCTCTCATGAACAAATCACGGAACAGTCGTTTCAAGTATGCATAATCTGGCTTGTCATCGAACCTCAAGGAACGGCAGAAATGGAAGTATGATGCAAATTCGGAAGGGTAATTCTTGCAAAGCACCTGCATGGAAAACAAGGTGACCACTTTTAATATTAGAAAGATGTATTCACTAACAAAAATGCAAACAGAAGAGCACCATGAAAAGATATCCATCATCCTCGCATTTAAAAATGTAAAATTCAGCAAGGAATCATAACCTCGCAATAAGCCAAGGTTCAAATGCAAGGTAAATAAGCAACAGCGAGATGACAATTCCAGTTCACACCATCACATTGAAAGCCATATAGTCACCCCGTGTCCAGAGAGCAGCATTGCACCAATAATACACCAATGGAGGCTTGTAGCACTGAAAACCAATGTCCATGGAGAGCATACTCTCTCCTCTCAACACGAGAGTCCAGTTCCTTCACACTCACATTTGGCGCTCAGCGCCCAGCCTACTCCTACACAGCTACTCCAGACTACAAAAAGACAATGCAACTGTTGACATCACCGGCAGCCCGAACTACTTGAAGATGTCGTCCATGCACCATCGCCAATACAAGGTAAGTGCCCTCACATCATCATCATCATCATCATCATCATCCTTCACCTATCCCTGACTACACCCACACGTGTCCTCTCTTTCACCCGAAGACCACCCCTGCGCTTCACTGTAGTCCAAGCCCAACAGCTATGGTGGCTGGGCTATGGCGCTGCCCTCAGCAGCGCCCTCCTCCTCTGCACAACCGCACGTGCTGCACCTCGCCAGGTGCATGCGAGTGCCTGAATGAGGAAGCCAGGGCCGAGCTCTTTCCTTTATGGAAAGAGTTGGCCTGCGCTCGCAGCCTGGCTGCACTGGCCTGGGCCCAGAAGCTTCCGGAAGGCCCCAGGAGGCTGCCTGCGTACAGCAGCTACTGGGCTGCTGGGCCTCGTTCGGTTGGGCGCCCAACTGTCTCTGTATGAGGCTGCGAATCACGCCCAGGGCCTGCATTCTTTGGAAAGGCCCGGAGGGCCGTGGAAATGTCTTTGTTGCTCGGCCTGTGTTTCTCTCAACCAACTGGCGTGTCGCAACTGCCTGGACCCCAAATATGAAATTGACAGTCGAGGGCCTCTTGCAAAAAGCCAGGCCCGCCTTCACTTAGGGCAGGTAATGCTGCAAACAGGGCCCCATAGGCCTACCGAGGACCCTGATCCTCGCACAAATGTGGATTGTAATAGAGTATCAGGAAAGTGTTTGGTATGAGACAACCATGCATTGAACACAATCGCGCAATTCTCACACAAAACCAGTCACACAAAAAGCACACAAGTGTTTGGTATGAGACAACCATGCATTGAACACAATCGCACAATTCTCACACAAAACCAGTCACACAAAAAGCACATGAAACACGAATCAAAAAATAGTTTCTGCAATCGCACACAAGTCAACAAATTGTCTTCCTCTCATGTGCGGCTATAGCGGTTCATACTCAATGCAGGCAAGCCTCACATATATATTCTCTCTTACTACTACTCTACTCACGCACACCCACAGGTCACACTCACATTCCTCTCTGAATGCCTTCCTCACGCTCTCTCACTCTCACTCTCACTATGAAGCTAAGTTGTGGTGTCAGGCACCGCCCACTACCCTAACTCGCTGCACTTGTTCATCTGGTGTTGCAACACTCAAGATCACAGCACTGCATCTGCATTCAGCAAAAAGGCAACATTGTGTTAACATGGCAGTTTCAGATGCTCGGAACTATTGCTGGTGGAGTTAAATACCGTTGGGCACTTCATCTTGCTACTTATGATGCTCAAAACTATTGCGTGTGGCCGTCGTCAGCCTCGGTCAACTGGACAGTTCCAAACTTCCTTGATGGATGCCACTGTCACACAACAACAAACAGACAAACAATAGGGAGTAGGGACCGCCTTCCCACCGCACGGAGTCTGTCGATCTAAAAATAATGTTGACCTAAAGTACGGCCTGAAATTAAACTATGGCTGCGGTATTTGACAACATGACAGAAATATAATTTAACGGGACAAAGGGACTGTGGGATTTGTACCGGGGAACTATGAACTTGTGAATCCCTTCACTCCCGATGGCCTAAACTTGAGGTCCTCCGACAAAGATAACAACTTTACTAGTTTGCAATTCAAATTCTCATGCGAGCTTGTTCATTATGTGATACTATTGAAGGTGCAGTCTCTTAAAGCTGATCCTTAGGGAACCATCTATCCCCTTCTAGGTCTTGGTACTGTCATCTCACCTTGAATTGCTTTTGGGGTTTGCCTTCCTGGCCTGTTCAGATAGGTATCATGTTCAACTATCCAATCAACATTGCAACTTCCATCCATATCACGCAGCATCATCGAAGGCCACGAATGGAATCACTTGCAAGTATCTATAGGCAGTAACTTTGAGGCATGAAACACAAAGTACGTTTGTGAATGAGCAGGGAGATCAATTGTATATGGCGGGCTGTCTGCTTCTTCCTTAACATCCATAATGTCTGGTGGTCCTCTATATCACTTTCCCGCATATAGTGAAGTTATAAGGTCGGAGATTACTTGTCTCAACAATGAGTTTACGAACAACCAAAACCCTTGGAAGCTTAACCTTCCACCAGTACTAATGGGGTAAGACTATGCCTTCACCATAGTCACTACATTCACCTGTAAGAACTTAACGCAGGCAACAACTTTGAGAACCCCCCTCTTTCAACGCGGACTCCTTGCACTTAAACTCAATAACCGACAACAAATTTTGACAAACGGTTGTGTTGGATTCCTTGCTTCATCATTTTGTGTTGCACGTGCCTAATGCTCTTTTTTACTATTTGCATGTCTTTTCCATACTACAGTGCGAACTCATGGGTGCAAGGTGGCAATTGCTGCACTTGGTTGACATTGAGGCAATCAATTGGTCACAACTAGTTGTTGTTGCGTCTCCAAAGGGATGCATTGAGATGTTCTATGTGCTAGCTATGCGAGGTAAGTGCTTACGTGCTAGCTATGCGAGGTAAGTGCTCGCCCTAGTCTACCTAATCTGGGCTAATGTATATTTCCTGGCGAATTTGTTGTGAAAGCTTGTTCGTCTACCCAGTTTGTTCTTTCGCTCCAAGGCGTCCCCCAACTGTGAGCCATACACCTTAATTAACTCCTGACAGTTCAAAATCTAGGGTACCGATCACTGACTCTCGTTAGTAGGAACCCATTACCTTTAACCATGGCTACGATCCGGACCACCGGACAGGGATCCGGACCGTCCATGGTCCGTGGTCCGGGGTCCGGATCTCGGTCCAGATGTGTGGGCCCCAGCCCAACGGGCAAAAACATTTTGGGTGGTCCAGGGCGTTTGTTCACGCCCTGGGCCGCCCCAAAAAAATGGTGCCTGATTTTTTATCCCCCTCGCCAACGATCCGGAAGGCCCATAAAGTCTACCAAGGGGGTTGGTAACTTTCGTTTTGTTTCCTACCTACGGCGCAAGTGTGCAGTGCACCCAGAGCAGTGTGATGGTCACGATGCGCCAAAAAAAATAAAAAAATATGTGTGAGAACACGAGAGAGAGAGAGAGAGAGAGAGAGAGAGAGAGCAAATAGCTCCTTATAATTTATTAGAAAACCCCTGCGGGTTACCCGAGAGGCCCCTGCAGATAATTAGCAAGGGCCTTCTCACCATGAACTGAGTAATGCTCATAGCCATGCTAGGGTCATGGCACGCCAAGTATATATGCTGTGGATTCACATTGAAGTCCGTGTTTCAGCAGTTATGGGACCACTTAGCACACGAGTTTCTGGGCAGTAGCAGGCCAGCTCACCACGTGTTTTTCAAGGCTTCCCTCCACTACTTACCAAATGTGCAAAACTAGAATGAGCTAGAACATGGAACCACACGCCGCCATATGTTTTGTCTTTTGTGCAAGTAGTGACGAGTGGAGCAAGGCCCTTAGGGCCACTCCTCTTAGGAAAAGGAAACAAAAGAAAGAG